GGAAGAATTTTCAGGCACTGTGGGGCACATCAGGAACACACAGCAAGAGAAGGCATCAGGTTGGGGGTTCAGAGTTTGCAGAAAATAACATCTTGTTAGCCTCTCACATTTTATTTATTTATAACTAAAGAGGCAATGAAATATTTTTTTTCTAACTTGCCTTGTGTACTTCTTGTATTAGGCGATGTCAGTTTCTGAACTTTTGTTTGACAAGTATAGCATATTTAATTTAAGCAGTCACCTATAAATGGAGCTACAGAGTTGTTAGACTTTTACTATTATAAACAACTGGTTGTCAACATTAGTGTGCACTCATCCCGGTGGCTTTTCTCGTCTTCACTGGTCCACGCTTACAGCACATCGGGCTCACCTTCCTCGTGGGGAACGGGTGCACGTGCACAATGCAGCCATAGCTTTTTCTCACGCCACTTACATCTCTTGGTTCTTTGCCTTTTGCAAAGGCCTACTGTCTGTCCTCTATTTTGCTTCTCATTACGCTTTGCATTTCTCATACAAAAAATCTCATATAGGAGTCACACGCTATGTAAGCTTGTGTGTCAGATTTGTTTCACTTAACATTGTGGTCTCAGGACCATCTATTTTCCTACACGATTTAAATTTATCCTTTAGAGTAGTAGTGCTCTGCTGTGTGTAACTGCCATGCTCCCTTTACCCGTCCACTTGTGGACAGACATACAGGAGATGAAGCTGTTGTGAGCTGTGCTGTTCTCCTCATGGGCAAGCATGTGTCACTGTATCTTGATGCCTTCAACTCTTCCTGGAAGATACCTAGAGCAATCTCATCCAACCTATGTCTTGGTAACAACCCTTCCCTCAGCCCCTTCCCAGTCTTATCAAAGTGGGAGGTGGTAAGGGGCTAGAGAAGGACAAGTGGGAGAACAGAAGCCCCTCTTCCAGGGGGAGTGTCCTGTCTGGATGTGACTCTAGGAACCAAATTTCACATTTTGGGACTCATGAGGCCTCTTGTCTGGATGATTAATTCATCAACTCTTAAGGGCAGAAGTAAAAAATGGGAAGAACTTGGGTCTTTTTATATGATCAAGTCAATGAACAGCCTTGGGGCTATCTTGTCTTGAGGGAAATGATGGATTTCCCTTATTATTTAAGCTGTCTGGAATTGAGGTTTCTATTCTTTGTAGCCTTAAAAGTTCTGTATTTGTACATGATGCTGAAAGTTTGTTCTTTACCTACCACAGACTTTCTTCTTCTTCTTTTTTTTTTTTTTTTCCAAGTAATTCAGATGTATGTAGTTTATACCCTGGAGATTAGTGACTCTGAGGCAAGCCATACTGTGTATGAGGAGCCTCAGGTCTCCTGTCTGCGGAACAGAAGAGCGGAAAGTCACTTATCTATTCAGTAGAGCATGGACAGATGCAGAGGCTGCTTCATTTCCTGCAGAGAAATTGGGAGGTTGAGGAAAAAGGGTTGGAGGTGGAGGAAAGCCAATAAAGCCTGAGAGTTGGTAGAGGAAAAGAGAACAGATTAATGCAATGATTTCCAGGCAGCTTTAGGAGTCAGTGGTGGGGAGGGGAAGATCAGGAATATGCAGGGAGACATGTCACCATAGCCTGGGCTTATCCCAGCCCCACTTTTGAGCCATCCACAGCAGACACGGATGTGGGCACTGGGAGCTGAGGCTTTGGATGGAGCAGGCTCCGATGAAGCCTGGATGATGCTCTGTGTTGGCAGCTGAGCTAGCCCCACCTTCTGTAGACCAAAGCTGCTCCTAAACCTCCAGCTATAGAGAGGAAATTGCTAGGATTTAGATAAATATCTCATCATTTTCCTAGTGCTACCTACATAAATCCAGCAATAAAAATTGTCTGTCTGTTCTTGGCTGTTCAAGACTTTGAGGACAGGACCAATTAAACTCATTTTTTTGGTAACATAGCACTTGATCTTCCATTAACAAATAATTTTATTAAAAATTCATAATAGTGATAGGTAATAATTTGTATTTCAGAATAAAATGTGCTTTGATTTCATTTGAGATAGGGTCTTGCCATGTGGTTCCGATTGGCTTTAAATTCCCTAGGTAGCCAGGATAGCCTTGAACTTTAGGCCATCCCCTGCCTTAGCTTTACGATGGCCATAGGGGATTGCAGGCATGTATCATGCTGGGCTTTGATTTCCTTTTCGTAGTCCTCAATTTTCTTTTTAAAATGAAGTCAAACTAATTGCAAGTATTTTAGCTTCAGACTCAAAGAAAGAGAGCCATCTAGGTGGCAAGGCTCAGGGCTGGTTCCTCCTGAATCCTTTTTGAAGCCCATATGATATCTGCTTCCTAGGGTTGAGGGGTCAACAGCAGGGCTCCTTGACTTCAAGATGGGGTGGAACACCGCCCCCCAAATCTGTGACAAACCCTAAGATGCAGCTCATTTGTGGCATAGGGTAGTGGTACCCTACCATCTGCCTTCTAATGGAGAGCAGCTCTTATAACAATATTGTGACAGTAAAAAGGGGGCAGAATGTTGTAACTCTACAAAAAATTAAGCCAGAAATCATGACTTCTCTTTGAGGTATGAGGGTCTAAAATAAGTACTTTACTACTTATAACCCCTCCTTTTTTTAAAATTTTGAGATATCATCTCAGTAAATTTTGGTTGCCTCGAACTTGAGATCCTCCTGCTTCAACCTACTGCTACCATACTTAGCCAGAAAGAATGACTTTTATATAAAATATTCAATTAAAAATGTGAAACCACTTTTTAAGGACAAATTAATTTTTTTTTACAACTATGATAGTAATAGCTTTTAAGATACAAATACTTCATGGGGTGAGATCACTGCCTAATCCATTATCAACTAATACTTTGATACACTGAAAGTTTTTCTGATCAAAAAGCAGGACTGCTGTAAATACTTCCTGTTGTTGTCTAATGACTCAGCCAAGGGTTATGACTGCATATTGTTCAGACAGTGAGCATACATCGAATGCTATTGTTAACCATATGTCAATATGATCAAGAGGTGACTAGCAGATTAATGAAGCATACTTCTGGGTGCCGTGTGAGCATGCAGCGTGACCTTGGAGACTGTCCTTTCCTCTCTGGTGCTTCCCCAACCACTCTACTTCCTGGGCACCACGCACGAGGCAAGCAGCTTCGTTCCACCACACCCTTCTACACAACGCCTTGGAGCCTGACGATGAAACGATCCTTCTGAAGCCATGAGCCAAATAAGATTCTTCCCCTTTAAGCTGTAGTGTAGCTTATGCATTATGGACTCAGCACTGAGTCCAGAAAGCAGGGTGCAGAAGAGTCGGGCTAAGAATACAACAGCACCAAGAGACAGGCTAGAGATCACATATGGTGCTTGAGCAAGTGGAACAAAGCTGAGGTCTTCCATCCCCTCCAGTTCAAGGTGTGGGGCGGCAAGGGGTGGTGCTGGCATGGGTGCTGGAGAAGAAAACACCGATGTGTTCTAGGGTCTGCTACGGGCTACCGGGGAGCATCTGGGCAGCTGCGGGGAGGACAGGCCACAGGACTCCTTGTTAGCTACCGTGCTCTCAGCGAGATGTTCCCTCCGGAGAGATCGCCACTGTGCACAGCGAGCTGACAGGCTGCAGTCACCGAGTGCAAGCTGCTAGGCAGCAAATGAGATCACAGCAGGCCGCGCGGCCCGTGGCCCTGACAGTGCACCGGAACATGGCACCGCTTCCGAGAAACACAGAGGGACTGCGTGTCAGCAGAAATCACAAATTTATTAACTCTTAAATATATTCAATCAATCATTTACCATTATGACAAGAAATATATACAGTGTTCCATGGTAAGTTGCAGTGTTTCAAAATGGTAAAGATAATAAATGTGTAATTGAGGTGTGGTGCAGAGAGCAAATCACAATTTCCTCACATCTGAGTGTGGAAGACAAACTCAGTCTATGGTAATACTTCAACACCACATGCTAAGTTAGAAGTGTAAAAAAAGGAACACTCTACACCTATTTTTTAATACATGTATGCCACATAGAGCTGCTTCACGAAAAAGTAAAAGAAATTAAAAGGGGAAATATGAGGCCATTACTTTTCACAGATCTCATTGGCAGGTTAACATGGCTCAATACATTTACTGTATATATTTATTTTAAGTATATTGTTTTAAATTGTGTAATAATTATCAGAAAAGCTTTAACCTATCTACCATATGTCCACTAGCAACAATATCTAAGATTATTAGTAATCAACACAGAAGGGTGAAATAAGAGAAAAAAGTGAAGGTTGTTCTGTTTTTGTATTTTTGCTTCTGTTTTTAAAAATAGGCTTCTGAAGACTGCAAGTAACTATGATTAAAGTAACACCAATGGAGAGTCCATGCACTAACAGCATTTCAAGAAGAGAAAAAGCCCCACAGGAAATGCATCAACAGAGGAGAAACAAGTACACAGGAAACGGGCATATTTCCCTTTTCTTTTGTTTCAAACTGGAAAATCCTAACTCCTTGGAAGAAGATGATACAGTGATTCAAAAGGGAAGTTGAAATAGTCCAAGTCATAAAGATGAAGTTCAAAACACTTATGAGAATGGAAAACAGTCGTGCGCTCTCTAATCTCAGCAAATGAGTTGGTGACAAGGCAGGAAGGGCCCCTGCAGCTCCCGAGGTGAAAACTGCAGTGTTTCGCAGTGAAACCCAGTGGCTCCAACATGGTGTGCCCTGGCAACTGTCCCAGGGGTGAGGCCCTGCTTACAGCAGGGATAGCCTTGCTCTCAGCAGAGGCTGCAAGGATTCTAATACCTTCACCACAGTTAGGACACCTCTGTCCCAATGGGAACTTAAGCAGAATTGGTTGACAATCTTGACCACACTTTTTTGTGGGCCCTGAAATGATCAAAAGTGCTAATTTAGTTCCCTCTAAAACACCTTTTTATCTTCATTCAGAAAATTGTGCTTTTATTTTTTTCTTACATCTTTTCTACTCCCCTTGAAAAGAATAAAATGAGAAAAATAAACCTTGGAAAACTGAAAGAAAAATAAAAAAGGAAATAAACAAAAAGAAAAAGGAAATAAGATAAAATAAAGAAAACAGAATACATTTGAGAAAGGAAAAGAAAATCAGCTCAGTGAATTCGCCAGAACAGCGTGAGTGTGTCTGGAAGGGATCAGACCTGCACACGGCGCACTTCCAGTTCACACAGTCTGACCAGAAACAACACGGCTTGCGGTGGTTAACCGACTCTCATCCCTACTATGTCATGTTTTTGTCTACATATCAACCCATTCTCATTGCATAACAGCAAAGTTTTGATGGAAATCCACTTGTTTCAACCAGGGTCATATGAGGAAACTAAGGTATATTTTTATCCTTAAAACAAACAACAAAAAGCAGGCCAGAACACATTAATGGCCAAGTTCTACAAAATTTACATTTCTCTTACAAATTGTCATTCAGAGAACAACAATGATTTTTAAGTCTGTTAGATCCTGGCATAAACAGAGAACCTTGATGAATATGTTGTACTTGGAATATTGTGGAATTCCTTTGTCTGACCTCCCCTATGGTTTGCTGACAGTCACTGAAGTGTGCATGGAGCATCGCCACCGCCGAAGTGTAAACAATGTACAGGAAGATGACAAGATGACACATTGCATACGCATTATGTAGAGGACCGTCACAACTTCATGCACTCAAACATGCATGAAGAAGAGGAGAGGACAGCTGAGGGGACCACCTGGGTGCCTTGGGAGCAGAGAATGTGGACGTGGCACTGCTGCTGATTAGCTGGAAGGAGAAAGAAGAGGAAGAGATAAGCGATACCATCTTACAAGATGTCACCAGGCTGCTTTACCACAGCTGAGACTAGGCTACGGCTTTATAACTTAGCTAAATATCAGCAGTAACACATAGAACGTCTTTGTGCTCATTACAAAATAAAATACACATTGTTAAACAAAGATAATATTAACATAGGAGATCAGTGTTATCGCACAAAGCTAAGTTAAAAGTAGCAGTAGGGTACCAGGCATTGGTCATATTAGTAAGTCTCGGTATACATTTGAAACAATCATATTTATGAGACAAATTTAATAGGTTAATATCATTTGGTTAAAAGTCATTCAAAGTGCAAGTACATCCTTAGCTTTTTCATTATTATTAGATTCCTTGGGCAATCAAAACTTGAAGTCAATTTGACAGCAAATATAGTATCAAAAGTGGAGAAAACATGATTATTCTTTATTTTACTAATGTATTTTTGAGACAGGGTCTCATTATGTGGTCCAGGCTGCACTTATACTTGTTTTGACCCTCCTGCCTCAGCCTCCTTCATGCTGGTATTATAGGCATGCATCACCACAGAAAACTATCATTCTTATTTGATCCTTTCTTGCAACAGGTGAAAACACTATTTTTAAAAGCTTTGCTTGAGTTTAGTCTCCAAGCGGGAAAATATACAGAACAGCACCATACATATCTGGATCCTAATCAAAATTTAAGAAACAAACCTTTAAAGTAACATAGGCATGGATTTAATTACAGTCAACTTGCAATTATCCTGCAGAATCACCTATTTTGTGTGCTTCAAATTTCAGTATGACTTCCTCCCATGGCCTGTCCTCATGTCAAGTTCCATTACACTCAGTCAGGTGTAGCCAATCATTTGTATATTAGCCACAGCCAAATGCTTATAGGAATTGCCACTTCCAGAAAAAAAGCCGGACACCACAGGACTCTGCAGCTTAATGCAATAGTAGGCTGGATAATTGAGAGTCATCTGAACCACCCCAGGCCTAACCAATGTTCGATGTGAGAACTCTAGAGTCTAAAATGCCACAATTCAAATACTGAAACACAATCCTGCCCAGTACTAGCTATCTTAAAGGTTATGCTGTAAAATAGGGCTGGTGATTAAACTTAGGAGCTCATGCAAAATGCTATGGATATGCAAAGATATTGTGTGCATAACATGGACTATTATTCAAAGCAAAGATCCTCAAAGGGAAGGACACATCCAATCACTACAGTCCTAGAGCAGGACGCTAATTACAAGACCCACATGTGAATGGGTCACAGGCCTTAGATGTTTTGCCACAAGGAGATGCCTCCTGAAATGTTCTCTTTCCCATATGAAATACAGGGTGGCTTATTGAGAGAAGCCCCACTGAAGCCCCGTGGCATGAAAGGAAGTTTTTAAAATAGGCTCTATCTCATTGATGCACGAGGGAATTTCAGAACAACCTTTCTTCAGTACGTTAGGACAGTAATCGCTTCTTTGTTAACTGGTAATTGTACCTCTCTGAGGTAGAAAACATACAAAAGCACAAAAACTGATAACTACATATTCCTTTTGTATTTTTTCTTAACTAGGTGCCCATTGTTTTGGATGAATTTCAAATTATTTTTTTATGTTTGCTTTGTCTTTGTTGATTCTTTTTTTCAAATCCAGCAGTGACACTGGTATGAAGGTTATGGAGAAGGCCTTTGAAACCCACTGTGGAGTGTTAGCTAGGTCTCTGCAGCGAGCTGAAAGGCTGGCTCGGAGAATGTGACTCCCATTCCACACCCTCAAGTGTCCACAGGTAGTGCTGGTGAAGGAACTCGGGGAGAGCAGCAGTGAGTGGCTGACTTCCTAACCTATACTCCGTCTGCACCTTGTCCACATCACCGATGCAACCCATTTCCCATTTTCACCACACATTACTCCAGCTGGCACCCATCCTCCTTGCCCACAACAGTGGTATCACTGTTTCTCTTCATGATACTTCTTTAGCAATCTATGTCTCCAGATGCCACTTGTCATTTAAGACCTTGTCCAAAATTCTATCACATATATAAAGGCAAATTCAAGCTGTTGGTACTAGCAGCTTGCTGCACTGTTGGATTTCACTCTAAAGTCTACTATAAATTTTGCAGTTCTGTTCCTATGGTATCGGTGATTAGTTACTTTCTAAAACAAAATATATATTCTTCAAGGGCAAAGTCTTATCTCATGCAGATGGAATGTTGGGATCAGAATTATAAATTGACACAGAATCTGTCTGAGGTCCTCCTTGCTCTGCCCCATGGGCTGGGTTTGGAAAGCAGAAAGCCTGCTTCCTCTGGGACATAGTGGAGATGATGCTCACAGGGCAGGATGCGGCCTGCTGAGGACCACACAGGGAAGAAGTACTCAGGCATAGGGATGAATCTCAACTTGTTTCCTTTACGATGTTAAACTGCCCATTCAATCACCCTGCTCTGCTGTTGCAGGAAGAGCACTGCAGCCCTCCCCCCGCACAGGCGAATCCCATGGTGGCTGGATAGAAAAGCTGGGCCTTTGTACCCAGAGAACACTGACCGCCCAAGCCTCAGTTGCTTGTTGTTCTTGTCTCTGGCTCCTTTTCTTTCTCATTGCGCACCATAATGCCAGGTAGGAAATCAGCAGCCTCAATACAGTGGTCCCTGATAACTGGCACTGTGGAAAGGGTCTCTGACAATGGAATATGGAGATGTACAGTAATATGGGCCTAATTATTAACTGGAAGTCAAGTATGATGATTGAGGTAGAGTGGTAAGGTCAGGACACTCTATAATATTTGCCTTTTAAATGTTCCTTTCTACATTTTCCCAAATGTTAGTACCTGAGCCCAGGGAGGTAATCTATGAAGTGCAGTTCCCAATACCCCACAGGCCATTTTGGAAACTTGGCCCTATGCTTCTTTCCCATGTTCCCTTCCTCTGTTGACCATGAAAATTAAATCATAAATATGATGGCTTATTACACAAACCCCCTTGATTTGACCCATGACATCAGCCTGATGCATCAGGTTCTACCCAGTTCCCAGCTAAAACTAGTATCTATTGCTTTGTGCTGATTTTCAACCCACTGATCTTGCATGGGAACAGCAGACCTTTTCCATTGAGGCTCTGGTTTCAGCTATCAGCATGGAATAACATATGCCATGATGTTAACAATGGGATGGGTACAAGGAGCCGACAGCCTGGGAATACTTACTTGGTGGGTACGGTGGGTGACCCCGAGCGATGAAAATGAACGTTCTGCCACTTTCCATCCCGGCGGTGCCACACGCGGGTCTCTTCCGACTGCATGGTCTTCGGCATCCCGCTGCTATCCATGTACTGTGTGAGCCGAATGTATGCTATGCAGGCAGCGTCATCCCCTACCAGATGCACGTGGGGGTTCAGGATGATGGTGTGGATTGGTTTACTGCTTTTGGACAAAGCTGAAAGGAAACCACATGAAAATAAAAAAGCAGTTTCTACGTAATCCAAAACCAGTAATAACTTCAGTGGTGATCAATTAACGCAGCGCTACTCATTCACTCCTAAAAGTCTAATTATTTGCACTAATCCAGTGCTTGGCACTGTACAAAGAATAAAAATAAAAGAACAAAAGTGGCTAGAGCATTTTCTCTGATTTCTTTTACAGGTAACTTTTTATGCTACTCTGGAAATTTGATCAGAAAAGCTAAAGAGATTTAATTATTCACAACAGGAAATGGTTGGAAGCAGAGGTTGTTATATAAGTCAAGGTGGAAAAGGTCTGGCCCAGGTACATGGAACAGCTTCTGGACTCCCGTGAGATGACTTGCTGAGGCAGCTGCCAGGAGAGCGCCTGAGTGGTACTTGGTGCTGTTGGTTGATACAGGACACAGGACAAAGGAAACATGTCAGGTATGAACCATGGAGATCAATGTCTCCAAAAAAGATGGCCCAAGGGCTAGCCAGATAGCTCAGTGGATTAAAGTGCCTGCTTAAGCAGATGCAGGGAGTGGTGTTCGATTCCCGGCTCCACATGCCTTGCTGGCCCTATCCCTGGGGCATGCTGAGCCTGCGATTAAGACTGGGCGTGGTGGCACATGCTTGTAATCCCAGCACTTGGGAGGCTGAAAGCAGGAGGATCACTACAAGTCTGATCTGTGTAGTGAGACCCTGTAGACTCTATACTAAAATACAAAAAAAACCCCAAAAAACAAAAAACAAAAAGATGGGCCATAGCAGAAGTGTATTTCTGCCTCTCATCTATGATTGTCCCAGATAGCAGAGTGTTCCATGATGTTCTTTCATTTGGTGATCATTTAGCATAAATGTACAATTTGGTGTTAGCCACAGAGCCTGGTTCTGACCTTGCATCTGTTTTTGGACTAAGTCATTTTCACTGGGCTCGAGCCACTGGTGTTTCCAAAGTGGCTACCCTTTCTATATACTAACTGATTACAAAATAAGAGGACTTAGTACATATTGAGTTTTCTCTCTTAGGTCACTGATGCAGGTTGAACTGTTTTGCTGTTATCCAAATATGCTTTGTATTCTCAGAAAATAACTATTCAAATTAATCGGAACAGTACCACAGTCACATAGGAAGAATTTCCCATTATGAAGAATAGGTACTTATGGAGCATAATGAAGTATTATGCTGAAACAGGTTAAATATAAACTATTACTATTAATGGTCAATAAGTGCTTTTACTATAGATGAGATGGTGTTGTTAAGACTCAGCTGGAAGAGACATTATGAGATGCTGTCGATCAGAGATGTGTAATATTAGAGGATGATGTTTACTAAAACTTTGCTGAGATGATTTTATTGCACAATTCTTTGGGTCTGTTTGTTCGCAAAACCTAGTGCATATAAGGAAAAGTAATTCAACACATCTCAACTGAAAAATCCATGCCAAAGCAGCAATCTTATCAATGATTATTATTACTGCAAGTGAGCTTAATTATCCTAATTATTGTTTCAAACTGCCATAATTCAACAAGAACTCTCTGCAAAAAAAAACTGAATTTGTTTCACTCATCATGGAAATATAATATCTAATATCAGTAGGGATAAGGGAAAAGAAGGATAAAAGGAATCTCTGTTTTACGCTGTTCTTCAACACCCGAAGGAGTTTGTCAGAAGCTTCCCTGATGTAAGGTTATTTTCTCTGACCTCTAAAGTTCTTGTGATTTTAATGCACACATCCCTGTTTACGTATTTTGAAAGTAAGTACCAAATATGCCTCACAGTGCTGTTCTATGTTGAACAATCTGGTGCACTGTAATTCTTTTATCTTTTTGTATGTTAACCATTTTATAAAACTTGAAATAGACAACCCATTCAGCTCTCTCTCTCTCTCTCTCTCTCTCTCTCTCTCTCTCTCTCTCTCTCTCACAAAAGCTTTTCCCCCCCCAATATATATATATATATTCCTTAATTTCTGTTGTTAAAAAACAAAACAAAACAAACTTCAAATAATATAGTTTTGTAACATTATATAGCTCATACATTCACTGGGACTTAATGGGTATATTTAAGCAACACTGCTTCATTTTCTATCTCTATTTTTTTTCAATACTGGGAATTGAACCCCATTATCTTCCCACTGGACTACATCCCCACCCCTTTTTAAAAAATAAAACATATTTGACTCAGGATCTTGCTGAGTTGCTAGCCCACTCAGGCTTAGTGAGGTCCTGCCGCCTGAGCCTCCTAGAGAACCGGGATTATGGGAATGGACCACCATTCCTGGCTCAACCTTAGTCTTTACACAAAGGCAAATATTTTTCAGAACAACAGAACTTTCATGTCTCATTATCTATCTATCTATCTATCTATCTATCTATCTATCTATCATCTAAATTTCAATTTCAAACAAAATATGTTATGGTGTAAAATGTTGGAAGACAGCAAATATCCTCATTGTAGAAAAAAGCCAAAGCATTGCAAATTCAGGAGAAATTCAAAGGGAAGTTGAAGAAAGTGTGTTACAGAATTTAGAAAGCAATGTACCATTTTCAAAGTAGAATCGGTGAAAGTCCATTCCTTCCACTAAGTTACCCAAAGCTTCAGGTTCAAAGGCAGTGAGGCCTGGATCACAGATTTTTCTGTAAGAGAAAAAATAAGAAAAATAATCAATAAATAAATGTATTATGCTTTGCTGTTTCCTGTAATCATTCTTATAAGTCAGGGAAAAAAGAACCCCTGAAAATTACTAAAAACACACACTTCTGAACGTAGACCTTGGCTGCACGGTGCGTCGAGTGCAGTGGACTCCCCGCAGAGCGCTGCAGAGAGCTCTGAGAGGCACACACTGATGCACCTGGCTCAAGCCCAAGTGCCTACTTTTTAATTTATGAGGTGAATTCTCTAGGTTTTTTTTTTTTTTTTTTTTTTTTTTTCAGAACTGGGGATTGAACTCAGGCCCTTGCGCTTGTCAGGGAAGTACTTATTCCACTGGGCCATCTCTCCGGCCCAAATTCTCTAGTTTTTATAGCTTTTGCCTTAACAGGAGGATCACTATGAGTCCGAGCCGCGTAGTAAGACCCTGTACCAAATACATAAAAACAAACAAACAAACAAACACTTCCTAGAAGGTCTAATTTAAGTGTAAGACTTGCTCCAAGTCTACCTTCCATTCTACAATTGAATGCTTTTGGAATAATTTTCTTTTCTATTTATTTATTTATATTAATTTTATTGAGAAACAAATAGCAATGAGACAGTTCCTTTCTTTTCTTTTCATACTGGGGATCGAACCCAGAACCTTGTGTTTGCCAGGCTGGTACTTATAACACTGAGCTATCTCCCCAACCCTTAAAGTTAGTTTGGGGCTTCTTTCTTTTTTTTATGGAATAATTTTTGATGGACAGTATCTTATATAGTCACATCAAAAATCTATATTATAATTTGCTTAGAGAAAGACACTACATCTTATACTTTCTGGAAATATTCATAACATTTAATTGAGCTTGTATCTAATGTTTACTTTACATTCCAGAGAAAACTGATAAGCAATTCAAATAATAATTTCCTTTTTAATTCTAGAAATAAAATTCAGTGAAGATGTACAAAATTCTAAATATTTGGAGAAAAATAATGAGATTTCTCTGGAGAAATGTACAGGTCACTTTTATTCAACAAAGAACTATTATACACCTACACATAGCAGATATTCTTTGAAGCAAGAAATCTGACTAAGACTTGATACCAGAATAGAAGTTAACACAAAGCATTCCAAAACAGCATTACCTACAGATAGTAAACAGAAAAGGTTTAACAGACAAAGATGTTTGGAGCTGGGCTTTTGGAGATGAGCAAGAGTTTTCCATGGGTGTGGAAGGTGACAGGCAGTAGGATGACAGCACACACTGTGGTAAACCACTAAGAATATGCCAAGTGTAGCATCTGGGGACCACTGCCTGGTTGTTGGATGTGTTGAGCCTGGGCTACGTATGCAGGTCTCATGGAAACACCGAAGGGGATCATTCCCTTTGGTCTACGTTGATCAGGGTAGACTTCTGGTTGGTAAAATTGGGATTTTGGAGAATCAGAAGGAATTCACAAGGGAGGCAAATGAAAATAAAGCTCAAAAGATTTTGGCCTATTTGCTAGTTTGCCCCAAAGTGCAGTACAGTGGATGGGGCCCTATCTAATTTTATATAGAAATTCCTTTTTCAGGAGGTAAACTTTCTTAACTAATAAACAGGAAAACACATTTCAAAAGCCTAACTTAACAGTGGCTCTTCAAAACGCAGGACTGCAGAGTGTGGGACTGGAGATCTACAGAGAACGCTTTTAGAGTAAGAAGTATATAGTACTTATGTAGTAAAAGAGGCCTTAAAGGCAGGTGAGGGTAGGAATATAAGCTTCATCTCACACTGTTTGTCGAATAGGTGTTATTAAGCTCAAAACAAAACTCTCTATTTCTCCGTCTCTATATGTTTATACTTACATTCATATTCATATTATCTAAGGAGGAAAACAGGGAAGAAGTGTTCCTGTGTTACCAGGAATTTGTTCTACCAGTGGCTATTCTTTCCTCTATGAATATGGGTTTTGACTGTCAGTGAATCAAAATTTCTTTTCTTTCCTTTGCCTGCCTGCCTGCCTGCCTGCCTGCCTGCCTGCCTGCCTTCCTTCCTTCCTTCCTTCCTTCCTTCCTTCCTTCCTTCC